GGTTTATTTGTTTATTTTAGCAGAGCTACTGGGGATTGAGCTGAGGACCAGGTGCGTGCTACGCATGCCCTCTACCACCCAGCCTCCCTCCCACTTTGACTTCAAATTCCAAAATAAATATCCGTCAAGCCGAACAGAACACAACTCTGTGTTCCGATAGATGTGCAATTCACAGCTCTTATTTTCAACTGACTTCTGTGTTAAAGTGCTCTTGTGGAAGGAAGCCAGGCTGGCCCCCTAGAGGATCTGCCTATGTAGCGGGGTGGGTTCCCATGGGAGGGTGAGGTCAGTTCCAACGGTGGTCTCCCTTTCTGGAATTGGGGCTGCTTCGTATCGAGGCCAAGAGTAAGAAGGGGCTCTGGAGGGTCTGTGGACCTCTGCCCCCTCCCAGGAAGCAGCTTTGCTCTGAGGGCAGGAAGGGGGCGGCCGGCCTCCCACCGTCAGTGCCCACCGCCCTGAACTGTTTGTCTGTGTTGTTTCTTCCAGTCTCTATCTGCTGCTGCCTCTTCATCCTCTTCCTCTTCCTCTCGGAGCTCACCGGATTCATAACGACAGAAATGTAAGTCACATCCCCCAAGGAGGGATTCCAGACCTTTCAGGGACCCCTAGGTGAGAGGAGGGAGGGGCTTTACAAAGGAGAGAAGCCTCCGAACCTTCCACTCCCGGCTCCCAGCCGGTAGTATCCGTTGCGCCTCTGTTTCTTAAAAGGGTTTTAAAGCCAGAGCAAAAGTCGACATTGCTTTGTTAGAGCTGAAGAGAAAACTTTGGTTCCCTTCTGAGGTCAGGGGTGGGGGGCCTCCTGGGTCCGCAGATGGACAGAAATCGTTTGCTCATGTTTGCCCTCCCTGTGTTTGCCCAGTGGGCTTTTTTTCCCTCTGAGTCATCACTCAGAGGGTCATTTGATGTTAAAGCTGGAAGAATTTGGAGAAAAACGGGTGCAGCTTTCTACCCGAGGGGCTGAGGTTCTGACATCAGAGCCTGGCCCCCTCAGCCAAGCCCCCTTCCCTGCTTGCTCAGGCCCACGCCGGGTGAGGAATCAGCATGGGCTTCCTGGCAGCGGCTGACGCATTGTGAGTCCGTCTCAGTTCCTAGAATCATCCCTTGTCCAGAAAACCTAGTAAATGCTCAGGGCCTGTGTAACCCAGGATGCCACTGGGATTATTCAGTCCAGCCTCATCGGATACCCCTCTGAGATGAATTAGATCCAGAAGCTTCCTGCCCTCACCTCTGGTTTCTAAGCCTCTTCATTTCCATGTTTACAGTCCAGAAAGTCGTCACGGGGCTGGACTCTGGCCACCCACTCCCCTGTTCAACTCTGGAATTTTCTCCTTCACTCATGGAATTTCTTGGTTTCCTTTGCCTCCCTCTCAGCCTCGAGACAACAGGAAAATGAAAGCCCCGGACAGTCCTTGTTGCTGTTTAAGCATTACCACTTTTAATCCTCAGACAGCCCTGGGAAGTAGTTGTCCCCGAGGGGGCTCAGAGAGGCAAGGGGAGCTGCCCACAGTCACGCTCCCACGGGAGTGCGCATCTCGCCCCGCCCACACCGCCGCGCCACCCCACCCCCACCCCGGTTTATTTCTGAATATGGTTTCCTGCCCTCCTCTGATGTGGGAGAGCTGTCTTCCCCGTCCTCTGATCCTGCTTTTAACCCTGATGGCACCAAAGCCCTGGGGGGGGCTCATGGAAGGATGGAAAGAGCACTGGACAAGGCTTTGGGAGACCCAGGGCCAGATCTCTGCTCACTTACCACTTCGCTCTCTGACCCTGGGCAAGTTGCCAAACCCCTTTGGGCCGCAGTACTGTTGGCCAAACAAGGGAGGGCACACCAGAGTCAGAGCTCCCTTCCAGGGCCGGGGAGGCTTGTCTGCTTCCCAAGACGCGACTCTCTGACCATGCAGGGGTCACAGAAGGGAATTTGTCCCCTGGGAGTTGACTGTCCCAGTCAAGTGTCTTCCCCTCTCTGCACATTTGGGCCACTGGACATTTCAGGGGTCATCCCATCATGATTTGGAGGTGGAAGCAAGGAGAACAGCCAGAGATTGAGACCTGCTGGCATTAGGAAGGACCTATTATGTGCAGGGCACCTGCTGGTCTCTCTAGGCTGCACCCCATTCCATGGGAGTGAGGGCTGCTGTGCAGACCTCTTATGTTCTGGGCAAGGTGAGAGGGGGTGCCCATGTGACAGCAGTAAGGAGAGAGCCCCAATTGTGCCCCAGGTGCCAGGTGAGAAGCTTTATATATTCCAGGCAGGGGCACTAGCAAGTGCAAAGGCCCTGAGGCAGGAATTCCCTGGTGTATACAAAGAGCAGATAGAGAGCTGGTGTGGCTAGAGCAAAGTGAGCAAGCAGGGAGGGTAGAATATGAGGAGGCAGGAGGCAGGCACTGTGCACTGTGCACTGCTGTGTATTAATGGGACTCTTCCTTAGTCCTGAGTCCCTAGAAGTGAGGGGCCAGGTCCGCCTGATTCACCGTTGCCTCATGCTCGAAGGAGCCAGACATGCCAGTGGTGGACACAGATGATCAACAAGCAAACAAAACAGAAAATGTCAATTAATGATGAGGGCTCTAAAGGGAAAAAAAAAAAAAGCCAGATAGGAGTTAGAGAAGGTATGTGATGTTTTGTGAGGCTTTAAGAAGATTCTTTACCTGAGAGGTACTTGATATAGCACCTGATTAACATCAGTGGCTCTGTATCTCTTAATGCTCGTATTTGTTTCATATTTCTTCCGAATCTAACAAGAAAAAGGCTGTAAGACCGCTCAGCGCCTGGCATGTAGTGGTCTTGGATGTACATTTCCTGGTCCCCTCCTTGAGTTCAGAGTGGGCCTCCCTCACCTCCTGCTGGCATTGTGAGGGGCTGCTCGTTAAGCTGATCGTCTGCAGCCCATAGTGAGGTGGGGTGCTGAGGCAGCGCCCCAGCGGGCACGTTTTGACGTCAGAGCTGGTGACGGCAGCAGGTGGAGCCCTCCTGCTGTGCACCGGGCCCTTGAGCAGCCCTGACAAGCTCGCTCCATTTACCAGGGCAGGGCTGGCTCCTTTCCCGAGAGCACAATGTGTTCCCATCGCTCTGCCCCTCCCCCTGTCCAGGACTTCCTCTTCCGGGCTCCTGGGGGCATTCTGGACACTCTGGACCCACCACATCCCTGGAGAGGAGGAAACATGAGAGCTGAGGAGAGGGATTAAAACACGGGGGGCCATTCACTCGGTGTTTGCCCTGCGTCAGGCCTTGCGCTAACAAGCACTTCTCTGTTGGCAGTGTGAGTGGCTGGGGAGAGGAAGGGCAGTGGGGATGAGAAAAGAGACCTGTCCAAGCCAGCGGCTCCATCCATGGTGATACAGTAACCCTCATACTCCCCTTCTGTCTGCGACCTTATAACCAAAGAGAGTCCTTGGGAATGAGGGCTGCGGACTCTGCAGAAAAATCCAGACAGAGGATTGCACCTGGATATCTTTCCTCTCTCAGAAGCTTCTCTGACCCCTGGGAAGCCCTGCCAACTTGAGAAGGACCGCAGGTCACAATTTCTTTGCCTTTTCTGGGTGGCTGGCCCTCCCTGGCAGTTCTGTGACCACAGTGGGTCGGCTACCCTCCCCCCCACCATCAGATTGGAACCCAAGGAAATGAGGTCACCGCTGGTTGGATCAGCGTCGCTCCCATCCTGGCCTGTGGTTATCAGTGACATGAGAGGCTATTCTGGCCCGGCCCGGCCCGGCGGGGAGAAAGGCCTGTTTGTTTGGGTGGTTAGACTTCAACCTGGCCATTAATTGTCCTCGGGAAAGTGACCCCACAGGGGTCCATTTCTGAGGCTCCATTTCTCCAGGGGAGTGGCAGCTCCCTCCTCCGAGCACGTGGCGGCAGAACATTCCAGCCTTTGGCTGCCCAGGACCTAGCTGCTCTTCATTATTAACATGAACAAGAGGTATAATAAGAAAATGTAGTAACTGGAACAATGCATTGGTAATTTATAGCTTAATATTACTCATTATACTTTCCAGTTATGATTTATAATAGGTGACCACGTGCCAGCCACCTAAGTCTGCACTCTACCGTGTTCATCTCATTTAAGGATCACAAACCCCCTTGAGCCAAGTGTTAACTGTTAGCATCAGTCTCACTTTACAGCTGGGGAAACTGAGGCACCAGGAGGCAAAAACCACAATGAAGTTTGTAAGTGGCTGGAGTGAGAGTCAAACTCAGACTTGTCTGACGCCAGCGCCCAGACTCGGCACCCAGGCTCTGACATCCCACCCTTTTCTGCCCAGAGCATGTTGGAGCACCAGGCACATGAGAGCCTCTGCTTGTCGGTCAGAATAGTTCACCAGAAGACGTGGATGCACCCTTCCGGGGAAGGTGGCCGAGCTGGCAATCAGAACTCCAGGAAGCCATTGCCCACCTAATTGGAACTTGGAAGTTACCTCAAACTGTGTCTTCACACGCTCCGGCAGCAGGCCCAGAGTGGGGAGGCCAGTAGCTTAGCCAGGAGGAGGAGCTGGATGGCTCCCTCAGAGCCTGGCTGAGCCGCTCTGAGGCCTGGATTGTGAGCCAGAGAGAGCCACAATTGTCACGTGGAGGAGCAATGGGTGGCCTGAAAGCTTCTGAGCAAGGAGTGATGGGATGGGGTTCATGCCTTGGAAAGATCACCTCTTGGCAAAGATGGGTTTGGGGTGGGGTGACCCTAGAGGCCAAGGCTCTGGTAAGGGGGCTGGGCGATGACCCAAGGCAGAAAAACTGAGGGTCCCAGGGCAGCGGCTGTGGAGAAGGGGGTGGGGGCAGGACTGAGTAGCTGCAAAGGGGTGATCTTTTTGGACATCTGCCTGGCAGGTAATATATCCTCTTACTTACACCTAGAATGGTCGGGATTGAGAAGTCCAAGTCCCGGAGAGCTTGCTTGCATAACCTCACCCCTCCCACTCCCACCCGAGGCCCTTACAGTGAGCCTCGCTGCTGTGTAAGTTTCCATTAAATCAGATTATTAAGCATGGAGGTCAGCGACGCTGGGCAGGAATCCGAACTATTCAAGTGCTCTTCTAAAAGCAAATAAAATTGTTTTCCGTAGATGTCATCAGACTCACGCCTCAGCCTAGAATTTCAAGACGCTTCGTTACATTCCACCTACACTCCCCCCACCCATACCTCCCTGGCCCCTTTCTTCCTCTCTCCCTACATGGCCACTGCTTTCTGACCCCCACGCAGTCTCGTGCAGTCTGGCGTCCCCCACCTGGAATGCGCTCCCCCCTACAGCAGAGGTTGTGCGCATGCGCTCTCTACTGCCAGCGCAGGGAGCCTGCGTCCTGGCTGGGGGGCTGGGGGAGGCAGATGCTGCAGCCCACCAGGGTGTGGTGGGTGAAGGTGACGGGGAGACTTGTGCGACACAAAGGGAGTGGACCCCTTGGCACCTCTGTGCCCTGAAGATACTTGGGCCATAGGTGGCATGGGGGGGCATCTGGAGATTATCAGAAAGGTGGTGGCCCCTGCATCACACGTCTCCTTAGGGGCCACCTGCCTCTCGATCCTCCGTTGATTCCTGTCCCGTGCAGTGGAAGGCAGTAGAAAGAGCGCGGCTGTGGGCACCCGTGGCTCTAGATCCCTGCCTCTGCCTTCTCCTGGCTGTGTGATCTTGGCCGGCTTTTCATCCACCTTCCTTTGAGCCCAGTTACATCCTTGTGAAAAGAGAACAGTAACCTCTATTAAATGCTGGCTTGCTGTGAGGATTAAATGAGATACTGTATGTGAAGGTGCCTGGGTGCCCAGAACTGGGACATCTCCTTTGATTAGTTATAAGCAAGCAGCTTTTGTGCATGTTTCATCCTCCCCACGATGCTGCGAGGTGGGTACTGTCAGTATGCCTGTCATTGTCCACTCCGTAAACGTAATGATATTAGTGATAACAATAAAAGTGGTGGACATTCACTGAGCACTTACTGTTTTCTAAGGTTGTGCCTGTGGTTGACCCCATTTTACACCTGGGGAAGTTGAGGCTGGTGAAGGCAAAGCCCCGTGTACCAGGTCCACCAGCCGGTGGGTGGTGGAGCTAGGATTCAAACCCTGAGAGCCCGGACTTCCACCATCTGCTGCTTCTCTTTGCCAGGAAGGGCCTGTGCTCTGTGTTAGGTCCTCCGAGATAAGTGCCCACCCCGGGGCATCCTGCAGCCCCCCTGCCCATCCTCACACAGCCCTGGAAGTAGCTGGAACCATTATCCTTTTTTTCCCTTCCTTTCTTTCTCCTTCGTTGCTTGTGTTCTTTCCTTTATGATAGGTGTGCGTACAATGTACAAACAGCAACATGCACGAATCTTAAAAGGGGAGACTCTGAGAATGCTTTCCCGTGTTCACAGCCATGTCGCCATCTCTCCATCAAGACCACACATCTCCACCACCTGGGAGGTTCCAGGTGCCCCCTCCCAGTCAGTACCCCACCCCTAAACCACCACTGTTCTGACTTCTGTTGCTAAGAATTGATTCTGCCTGTCTTCAGACTTCATAGAAAGCTTTCCCAGTTTTACAGTTGAGGAAACTGAGGCTCAGAGAGGTGAAGCAACTTGTTCCAGGTCCCCCAGCTTCCAAGTGACAGAGCCAGGGGGTGAGCCCACATCTGTCCACTGCTGCCCCACGGGTTCTCATCGCCCACAGTAGTGACAGGAGTCAGGCCCACGACAGTCCCCAGGCAGCAGCAATGAATCCAGAAAAAACATTTGTTTTCCCTCCAGGTGGGCTGATTTCTAGCCTCCGTTTGCCTTTTAAAATCAGTCCAGCCAATGGCGTTCGCTAGCCTTGGCAGGCACCTGTGAGTGGCACTGCGGCGCTGGCAGGGGTGGCGGGAAGCCGGGGGCCCTGGAACATGTTCCTTGGACACGGAAGGCGGCAGCCACATTGACCTCATCGGGCGGGCGGCACAGGTGATTGACCTTGTTTATCTCGCAGCCCCGGGGCCCTTCAGGAAGGCTCCAGGGAGCAGCCCGTCCTGGCCTTACGTAACCAGACTGGCCCCAAGCTCTGCAGGCCAGTGAGTGTTCCATCCCCTCCCCAGCGCCTCAGCCCCTTTGTCCTGGGCAGCGGGTCAGCCCCTGAGAGCCTCGGCTCCGCGGGCTGGGAGAGGCTTCCTGGGGCCTCAAGGGTGAGCTCACCTTGGCGCCACACCTGGGATTCACCTCACTGGGCGCTGAGGTCACCTCCGGAGGATTGCCAGGGGATGACATCATCCCACAATCCCTCAGTGACATGCAGTGGCCTCGCCTCCCAGGTGGGAAAGGTGCGTGGCTTCAAGGAAGAGTCTCACACAGCTGTAAGGGAAAGCTGGGGGCTGTCCCTCGGTGACCATTCTGTTACTCACCCAGCGATCTCATTACTCAGCAACCCTGCGGAGTTGTGAATTAAGCAGGGGTAGAAACTGGGCACCAGAAGGAGCATCTGGCAGTGGAGGAGTTGCTCTTCCTCCTGCATAACCTCCTGTGGTCCTGCTGGCCCCTCTCCTGTGGGCTCATTTGTTCCTCCCCGTCTCTGATGTGGGCCAACAGCGGGAGCCTGCTATGCACAAACCCCTGTCTCCTCTCTCACACCCTGTGACCTCAGAGGACCAGGGCTCCTCTCAGTCTTCCTTGACCCTGGGTGGTGAGGATGAGAGGAAGGGCAGGCAGCGTGAGCCGTGGGGAGCCTGGCGGAAGGCCGACCCAAGTTGGGCTCCCATCTGGGCCAGTTCTTACTGTGTGACTGTGGGGGTGGGACTCACCTTCTCTGAGAGTCAGTTTCTTGGTTCTAAAAGGGCGATCGGGACATTTCACAGGAGCGGATGGGATGACATGAAAGAGCATAGGCATAAGGAGGCCTCTCCTGGGTTAGTGGGCTGGGGACCCGGCAATCTGAAGGCTAAGCCGTGTCTGTTGCTTTCTTGTCTCTGGGAACATCTCTGTGCGTGCCACGAGGAAACAAGCCCCAGGTATTTTTTTGAACCTCCCGTTTCTTGTTAACTGAACATCAGCTGTATCATACTAGGAGCTCGGAGCACAAAGACAGGGTCTTAGTGAAAAATGAAGCGCCCTTGCCCTGGCTTGACTCATTCTTTCCCAATGAAGTGGCCATTTCCAAGGCTCTCTTAGAGTCCAATTATTTAGAGCTAACAACCCTGCTCTATTTTACAGCCTGTGGATGGGACCCAAGGGGCCTGATTCATGTTTAAAATAACCACAGCCCGGTCACCTCAAGCACTGCCCCGCAGCTGCCCACCAGGCTGGCCTTTAGAACATGTTCCTTGGGGAGTTACCTGGGAATCGGTAATGGGCTTCAGCCACAGCCATCCGATGTCCACTCAGAGGCTCCTTGGAGGTGTCTCCAAGTTACCTTGAGCTTGGCACAGCCGTATGGAACTTGGTACCTTTCCCTCCCCACCAGTTCCAGTCCTTTTCCAGGGGCTCCCAGCCCAGAGAGTGGTTCCAGAAAGTAACCTGGCCTGCCTGCCTCCCTCAGCCCACCCCCACCCCCTGTCCATCAGTGAGTCCTGGCTGCTCCACACAGCGTGCCCTGCATCCCTCCCTCCTCTCCGTCCCCACCACGCCTGGTCCAGGCCGCCATCTCTGACCTGCACCGCTCAGCAGCCTCCTGACTGATCTCCGTAGTCCACAGTGGCCCCTCTGGTTGGTCCACAAAACAGCCAGAGGGATCCTCTCAAAGTGCCAGCTCGACAGCGCTGCTGCACCTGGGATCGAGTCTGAAGGCCTCACTGTGGCCTTCGGCCTCCCCACCACCCCCCCGACCCGGCCCCATTCTTCTTCTGCGTCACACCCACTTTCCTTTGCTCTACTCTGCAGCCACGGTGACCTTCGTCCGGTTTCCCAAACAAGCCGTGCCTTTCCCACTTCCTGGCCTCTGCACGTGCTGTCCCGAGGACTGTCCTCCCTCTTTGCCAGGACAGCCTCCTCATCCTTCAGACCTCAACATCCATCTCCTCAGAGATGTCGTCCCAGTCCACTCTCCCCAGAGCTCCATCATCCCGTGTGTCTCTCCCGCGGCTTTCTGTCAAAGCAGTGATCACAGCTGGGATAAGGTGTTTATGTCAGAGGCGAGCGATGTCTGTAAGCTTGATGAAGGCAGAGACCACGTCTGTCTGGTTCCTCGCTGTCTCTAGTGCCTGACAGGTAGTACTTGCCAACAGACCCCAATGTGGTGCCGGTGTCCCCAATAGGAAGGTGTCATGGCTGTCCGTGGAGCCACCTGCCCCACATTATGCCCCCCCGCCCCACCAAGATGTCCCTGTTCCTGTCCCTGAAAGCTGAAAATATGTCACCTTATGTAGTAAAAGAAACTTTACAAATGTGATTATGTCAAGGGTCTTGAGACGGGGAGATAATCCCAGGTTATCCAGGCAAGTGGGATGAAATCACAAGAGTCCTTGTAAGAGGGAGTTAGAAGGTCAGAGAAGAGAGAGGATGCCTACAGCTGGCTCTGAAGGTGGAGGAAGGGACTGAGCCGAGGCTTCTAGAAGCTGAAAAGGCAAGAAAACAGATTCTCCCCTCACAGCTTCCAGAAGGAGTCCAGCCTCTCAGACCCTTCTTAGACTCAGACCTCCAGAAGTATGAGATGATAAATGTGTGTTGTTTTAAGCCTTTAACTTTGTGATGGCTTGTTACAGCAGCCACAGGAAGGTAACGTGTGTTAGACTAGTCGTGTCTTGGACCTGCTGCCCGCCCCAGGGCTTTGTGAGAACCGGGACATTGAGGACGAGCGGCCCGCAAGTTCCCGACTTCCCAGCGGCAGGGAGGGGAGCTCACGGGAGGAGGGAGTCCTGTCCCACGTGCCCGTTGGTGCCAGGCCCTGGTCCCTACCTAGCATGGTCTTATTTCTCCTGTAAGTGTTCAGAACACCCCATTAACAGTGGGTTGATGGTGTCCCCACTTCACAGATGGGTTCACGGAGGCGAAGTTATCTGCCCGAATTCCATAGAAAAGCGGCAGAGTCAGGCTGGGAAATGAATCCGGCTGACTCCAGAAGCTGAGCTGTTGCCCCCACCCCTTCAGACCCGCCTCCCCTCCCTCTAAGTGGTAAGGTCGGCAGTGGGAGAGCGCCACGGAGACTGCAGCCCCGCGCCCCTGTGCCAGGGTAGGCGCAGGCTTCGCCCAGATGGGAGTCCGGGTTATCTGAGCGGTGGTCACCAAGTGAAGTGGTCCCTGGCCATCCCCTGCGGCTGGGATGGGTGCCCCCATCTTAACCAGGCTTCTGTACTTGTCCCCTCAGCGTGAACGAGCTCTACGTCGATGACCCAGACAAGGACAGCGGGGGCAAAATTGACGTCAGCCTGAACATCAGTTTACCCAATTTGCACTGTGAATGTGAGTATTCCTGGCAGCTCCGGCAAGACACGGCCTCTAGACCGCGCTGCGTGTGTGGAAACGGCGGGATAACCAGCACGGGTTAGGTGGGTGGCAAGCTGCGAACAGCTGACAGCAGGAAATGCTCCCCACTCTTTTTTGGGGGGATTAGGGAGGATGTAATCAAATGTGCATACACTTGGAGGTTTTTTGGAATAAAAAACATAAGAAACTGCCAGCAGTTTACCTCTGGAGAGTAGCCATGTTGGGGTGGGGGGTGTCTCTGAGGTCAAATTCACAAAAAGCAGAGCCTGAGTTTTTTGCAAGTGATTTATTGAGCAGGGGCTCTCAGGAGGAACCTGTAAGGGCTTGAGGAGGTGAGACAGCAGGAAGGGTGTGTGTTCAGCTGAAGTCTAACCACAGCCTGATCCCACGGGGAGCTGTGGCATGTGAATGTCGCGATAGTTTCTCTCACCCAGTAGCAAGGGGCTGGGCTGTTACTATCCATATGCTTTGCTAATGGCTCAGGATGGCGTGCAGGGAGCGGTGGGGGCCACATTACCTCCCAAGCATCCCAAGGCAAGGGGACCTCCAACCAGCCACGAGCAGTCACCTGGAGAAGGATGCAACTCCGAGCTGTTAGCAGCGGTGGGATAACTCCTTTTTTTATTTCACACTCCACTGTTTGTGTTCGTGTGTTCTGTTTTTGTTTTCTTTTCTTTCAACCAATTACCTATATAAAACAAAACTCATGGGAAGTCTGGTTTGGAGTCAGATTCTGGCTCCTTTGCTTACTACAATTACGTGACCCTGGCTAAGGTGACCCCTCTGAGCCTCAGTTTCCTCAGCTGTCAAATGGGCATAATGCAGAGGGAGGGTATAGCTCAAGTGGCAGAGCGCATGCTTAGCACACACAAAGTCCTGGGTTCAAACCCCAGTACCTCCTCTAAAAATAAACCTAATTACCTACCCCCCTGCCAAAATGAAATAATTAAATAATACAATAATGAATAAATAAGGTATTTTTAAAAAATAATAAAGTGGGCATAGTGCTATCTCTTGCTTGAGATTGGTGGAAAGATCTGATGCACTGGTCCCTAGATTTGTTAACGAGGAGACTGGGTTCCAGCTGTCCCCCTGCCCCAGCCTGGCACGGACCCCATGCAGGGCCCTCTTCTCCTCCTCTCCCCCTCTTCCTCCTGAAGGGCAGAACACTGGGTGGGTCTGCGGCAGAGATGGGGAGAGACTGAGCCCTTGGATTGCTTTTGGTGAGAATTACATCACAATTTTGAATCCACTGTGGGCCCTGAGCCAGGGAACCTGTTGAAATGGGTAGATTTTATTTTTATTTTTACTCTTCCTCTCAGAAAAATAATTCATCTGGCAGCTTCTCATTCAGGAGTTGGTTGTGTGTTTGGAACAAGGAAATTCTTAGGCCAGAGGACTGGGACCAGCAGGGCAGGGGCGGGGAGGGATGTGGTTCCAGGCTGGATCCCAGCCCCGGGCCACGGCCCAGGAGGGGCTGGGCAGCCTCAGGGTGCTGCTACGCTGGCCCCACTGGACCCTGCCGACCCCAGCACCTCCCATTAGAGTCCTGCACCTGAGCTTTGCTTTAAAAGAACTTCAAACTTAGATTATAGGGGGGAAATATGCATGCTCATCATTGTACCTTTGGAAAATCCAGAGCAGCAGAGAGAGAAGAAATTGCCCATCATTCCACCCCGATGACAGCATCAGTTGACACTTGACGCCGCTCCGTCCCGTTGGCCTTCTGTTCCAAGCATTTCTAAACATGGCTGAGATCATGCTGCCTGTGCGATCTCATATCCTACTTTTAAAAATAATATTTTTCTGTTACACAACTCATACAGGGATACTTTTTTAATTTTTTTTAAAAGATACGTGTTCAAAACACAGAAATACATAAAGAAAAAAATAAAAGAAGTACGTGCTTCGCAGCATGCCGCCCGCCTGAGAGAAAGCCTCTTAGCAGTTGGGACCTCTTCCCCCACCCCTATGTATGTGTCTGTCTGTCTGTCTGTCTGTTTGCAAACGTATGTCATTTTTGGGTTTTGGGTATTTTTTTTCTTTTTACATAATAGAGACCCAACTACAAGGGACCTTCTGGGGTTTCTTGTTTTTTCCATTTATATCTTGGAACTGTTCTTATATTACTCATAATATTAGTAAAATAATAACCAGAGCTGCCATTTATTCAGCTCTTCCTCCGGGCCCGTTCCTGTCCTGAATCTTTTGGCTGTGTTAGTGCACTAAGATGAGAGGTGTTCTAGCAACGTGGCCAAAGGATGTGGGCTCTGGATCTAGACTCTGCAGGTTCTGATCCAAGTGCCATTGTTTCGGAGCTGTGCAATCTCAGGCAAGTTACTTAACCTATCTGTGCCTCAGTGTCCCCCAGTATAGGATGGGTCTCCTAATATTATCTTCCCCCTAGGGATGTTCCGATGGTGCACGCTTATGGAAAAGGCACTTGGAAGAGTGCCTAGCCCATAGTAAGTTCTGTTTTAGTTTTTAGTTTTTTCAATCCTCACAAACCTAGAAAGAGCAAGAAACTGAGGCCCAGAAAGGTGAGGGAACTTGCTGGAGGTGCCACAGCCAGTAGGGGCAGAGCCAGGAACACAGACAGGTCAGCCCCAGAGCCCATTCTGAGCTGCCTCTTCTCACATGCGGGTTTAGCTCATTCTTTGTACCCACTGCACAGTGTGCTGGAGGGGGCTGTTCCATTGACCAGTCCCCTGTTGACAGGCAGTTGGGTTGCTTCCAGATGTCACGATTGTAAATAAGGTTGCCCGGAGCAGCCTTGCGTGCATGTCTGGACACGTGTGTGTCTGGAGGATGGGCTGCCGGGGGCGGAACTGCTGAGTCAGACAGGGACCTTCTTACGTTTCTTCTCCTCCGAACATTACGGCATCAGCATTTCCCACGTCCTACAGACCCAGGAGCGTCGTTTTTAGTGGTGCATCACACTCACTTCCGTGGATGGGCCCTCGAGCACTTCCGTCCCCCTTGAAGAATACTGGGTTCTTCCTATTTTTCCCTTTTCCAGTCAGCTCACTGAAAATTGCTTCCAGCTGCTCTTTCTCTGTATTGCAGCCTGCTTTCTAGCGCTCCTCGCAGGGAAATCTCTGCATTTCTGTAGTTTATGGGGACACCCCCGGCAACACTTGCCACTTGGACCATCTCAGGGAATACAGTTGGCCTGGGCGTGCCCATTTTGCAGATTGGGAAGCTGAGTCATGGTAGGTGATGGAGAATCACGCTGGAGTCAGCACCAGGACTCTAGGCGCCAGGTTTCCCATTTTTAGTGCACAGAAGAACCCAGAAAAGTGCCTTTGCTCCTGGAGGGCAGGGCCTCGGGGAGTGGGCACTGGGTAAAGGAAGGTGTGGATGAATGCCTGCCTGAGCCTGAATGGTGCCCAGGGAACACAGAGACAGTCTAAGACGTGGCAAGTGCTGAATAAATGTTGGCACTTATAATAAAATAGTATTATGTAGTATTACTTGAGATTATTAAAGTATAATTATAATATAATATAAAATCATAAAAATAATAGAATAATGAAAGGGCTGGCATTTATTCCCCACTTGCCACCTACTGTGAGTATCAGGCCCTTCTTTAAGTATTTTCAACACATATTAATGATTTGGTCCTTGTGATTCTCCAAGGAAGCTTTAATTGTTATCACCTCCCCGCTCCTTTAAAGAGAAAGAAACTGAGGCATCAAGAGGTCAAGTGCCTCAGCCAAGGGTACAAGCTAGTAAATGGCAGGCCCAGGATTCAGACGACCTTTTAAGCCTGACTCTCCGCTGCCCCCCTGCAGCATCACGTTTAGCAGAGTCCTCCCCCTGCACCCTGCAGCCTCCTTCCCTGGCCCCCTTAGCTGCTGCCTCTCCGGACTCTTTCCCCTCTTCCTTTCCAGCCGGCAGTGGCCAGGGCCGGGGACGTCGCGGGCTGGCTCGCTCTTAGTCCAGCCATCCCTTCCTCCTCCTCCTTCTCTGCAGCTCTGGGCCCCAGACTGTGAGCTCCTGGAAGACTGGGGCCCCCGCCTGCCCATGAAGTGGATGAAGGGGGGATCCTGGGAGGAGGGAGCTGGTCTTGTTTCTCTAGGGGTTTGTGACTCTTCTCTCCTTGGCTTCTGCAGTGGTCGGGCTGGACATCCAGGATGAGATGGGCAGGCATGAAGTGGGGCACATCGACAACTCGATGAAGATCCCGCTGAACAACGGGGCGGGCTGCCGCTTCGAGGGGCAGTTCAGCATCAATAAGGTACAGAGATCCTGCCTGGCCCCGCCCACTGCCCCGTATCCCCTTGGTCCCCTTCCTCCCTGGAAACTGGATGGCGGAGCCGTGCGCCCACTCACCCCGTCCCCGGCAGAGTCCAGGCGCCTGGCAGTTCCTGCTGAGAATCTGGGTGGGGGTTTCAAGCGCCCTGAGATTTGGAGCCCTGCTGGCTGGTTCAGGAAGGGACTACTCTCCTCCCCAGCGCGGAAGGAGTGGGCGGTGAGAAGACTGCAGGATTGGCAGCCCTGAGCGCAAGTGTGCGTCTCATCCCTACCCCATCTGGGCCAAGCAACATCCGCCAAGTCACTTAACGTCAGCCTTCACATCTTTAGGCTGAGGATGTGATGATAATAATTATATAATGGTACTATGCACGTCACAGAGGTTTACGTGATGATTAAATGAGCTATTGCACATTCATTCATTTCATTCATTCAAAAAACTCTTTGAGCACCTTCTGTGTTCCAGGGTGGGTTATCGGCTCTGGGCAATGGAAGGACTAGATGGGCAGTGCTCCTGCAGTGGTGGGGCTTCTGTTCTAGCAGAGGGAGACAGAGCATGCCAACTAAAAAGCATTTCGGTGGGTGGTAAGTGCTGTGATGAGAAGTCAAGCAGGGGAGGAGTGGGAGTGGGTGGGTTTGAAAGTACCTGCTCAGCTCCAGAGGACCATTCAGGTATCACTGTTGTTTTGTCTCTAGAACCAGGAACTTCAGATCCTAGGTCAAGGGTGTGCAGGAAGTGCATTTGGAAGAACCAGGGAACCCGGGCGGGAGCCAGTCACTTTATGCTTTTGAGCTGCACCTTCCAGGACCGTAGCTACCAGCTCCATTTAAGTAGAGAAAGATCACTCTGGCATCTGTGTGGAGGCAGGCTGCAGGGAACCAAGAGCAGAGGTCAGGGGCAATGCTGTGGCAGTGGCATTGGAGAGAAGGGTCCAGATTAGGGAGCTAGGGTCAACAAGACTTACTGATCAATGGAGTGTGGGTGGTGAGGGCAAGAATGGAATCAAAGAAACATTTTAGATTTTTGTCTTGACAACCAGGGGGTCCCATTCTCTAGATATGGAAGCTTGGGAAAGCATGGGTTCCATGGGAAGCGGGGCTGGAACTCAGTCATTCATTCTGGACATGTTTCATTTGGGGTTCCTGTTAGAGACGTTAAACTGGACGTTGAGGGTGTGCTTCCGGAGTTCGGGAGAGAATTCCGGGATGGAGATATAAATGTGGAGTCATCAGTAAACAGATGGTGTTGGCAGCCATAGGTCCCCGTCAGTGCTACTCAGAGGGGGGCCCCCAGACCACCAGCATCAGCATCCCCCGGAACCTGGTGGGAATGCAGATTCTCAGGCTCCACCACCGACCTACTGAATCTGTGCTATAACAAGCCCTCCAGGGCACCCTGACACCGTTCGTGTTTGCGGATCACTGATCTGAGCTCGATTACCTGGACAGAGGGGTAGAACGTTGGTTCTAAACCTGGGGTCCACGGACTCCCAGGGAGTGTGGCTCAAATTCAAGCGGTCTGTGAACTTAGATGGAGAAAAAAATGGCATGTTTATTTTTATGAAGCAGTAACTTAGATTTAGCATTTTCTTTCTGTGATGAATGTAGGCAATGAACCACAGTGGCATTAGCAGCACCCGTGACCTTGTCACCAAGAGAAACTGCCGATGTTCATATCACATTAAAATGATCACAGATCATTTCAAGATGCTATTTACACTCATCGCTGTTTTGAAATGACAGTAATTAGTTGACCCGCAACCAGGTCATTTACTGCAATAATAACAAAGCATATGCAAATGCTTTGATTTATTTTAATTACTGTTTTAAAATCTCATTTCCTTGCCTGTGATCCTATGTATTTTATGCAGTCAAAACATTTTAAGCATCTAAAACATAAGAATGACATCACTGGTGTCACTGTCCCTTGCTTATTTGTAGTGTTTTGGGATAGCTGGACTTCTCAGTAAATACATAAAGATTACATAATCTATAGATTAATAATATAGAAGATGTATAGATCCCTTTTTTTAATTTTCATTGAAATAGAGTTGATTTAAAACATTGTGTTAGTTTCTGGTGTGCAACAGGGTGATTCAGTGATATGTATATATATTCAGTTATGCATGTATAAATATATTTTTTTCATATTCTTTTTCATTAAAGGTTATTACAGGATAAAAAAATAAAACATAGATGTCACCAGCCTGGCAAAGGGTCCATGGCACCAAAAATAAGGATGCGGTTTGAGGACTGCTTCCTGGTGCACACCAGTGTTTAGCAGTGGGGAGGGAAGGAAGAAAGAGCAGCCAGATAGGAGGAAATCAGGGCTGCGAGAGCCCCCCAGTATCTGGAAGAGAACACATATCAAAGAGGAGGTCTGGTGCTGCGAGGATCGGGTGCACCGCTGACCACGTACAGCCAGGACAGCCCGCCGTGTCAGGGAGAGCGGACGGCCGCACAGCCACGTCCTGAGGATGCAGGCTGCAGAGGAGGGCCGGCCCAAGAGACGAGGGAAGGCCTGTGTGGGCACAGTGCAGGGAGGTGGGTGAATTGGTGGTGGGTCCAGCCTCCTGCTTGCCTCCCATGGCCTCTCTCTGCCCCCATCTATGTGTCTGGGGAGCTGTTGCTCACCCACGGGTCCCATTGACTGGGTCTTTCGGGGAAGCCCTCCCTCCCCTTCCCCTGACCACACCCCCATCACGAGCCTTATCCGAACGCTCCTGTCCATTTTACTCCCTGACTTCTTCTGACCATTGCCTCCCCCGCCCCGCCCCCGCCCCGCCCGGTTCATTCACTTATGTCACGCTCTTGAGTGTTGACTGTGTGCCTGGCTCGACGCTTGGCACTGGGATGTGGGGAGGAGGGAAACAGCCCTTGGTGGCACTTAACGATCTATTACGAGATGGCAGGTCAACAAGCAAGCAAATGTGGAATTTGATGAAGCAGCCAGGAAGAGAATGGGGTTGTTATGGTGGGGAATACACACAGGAGGTCATCAGGGAAGGCATACCTGCGGGGTTGAAAGATGGCTGAAGATGAACAGACAGACATGCACACCTCCCAGTTCTAGGGGCCTCCCTTGGCGGGTATGATCACCTGGGCTAAACAGATGCCAATGCCCCAGATGGTGAAAAGGAGCGATCACGTTCCCTCAGCACCCCGGAGAGGGTGGGCACAGGAAAGACAGGATGACCACCCAGGAGACGGCCCAGCACCACACTCTCCCCATCTTGGCAAATATGCCCAAGGCTGCAGTCGGCTCAGACAGGCAGTGTTGGGGCCCCAGTGGCTCTGGCTGAACTGGAACTTGCTCTCTGGGGCCAGACAGACCGACCCATGCCAGAGAATCCTGGTTGAATGACTGGGCAGTTTAGCCTCTCTGAGCCTTGGTTTTCTCATCTGTAAAATGGGAATGATTTTACTGCCCTCACAGATTGTGAGATGTGAACAAGTGAAAATCCGTAAAGCATGTGTCCCAGTGGGGGCAAGTCAAGCCTCAGCGCCCTCCCCGGGTGCTCGTCTCCGTCAGTGGGAATGTCTGCGATCGCGTCAGCTGGCATCCACCGTCACCCGGGTACAGGTGTGCTCGTAGAACGTGCATGGCTGAGGAGGGCAGGGTACAGCTCAGTGGTAGAGCGCATGCCTGGTGTGCACAAGGTCCTGGGTTCAATCGCCAGTGCCTCCATTAAAAAATAAATAAATCAGTAAATAAATCTAATTATCTCCACCCCTACCGCCCCAAAAAAAGACTGTGCGTGTATGACGACCACAAAGCGGGTCTTCTCTGGTCAGGGGAGGGCTGGGATTCTAGCAAAGAGTCATGCCAGCCCCCACCTTTTGGCAACCACCTCTTGGGTTCTCACCCAACCCTTCACCAGCAGTAATTCATTTAGTCCTTGCAACAATCCTGAGGAAACAGGCACAGGGGATTAAGTGACCTGCTCAAGGGCCAGCAGCGAGGGTTTGAAAGAGCCCCTGCTCTTTCTTCTACACCCCTGCCTGTCACTGCTTCTGGCCAGCAGCTCGGTGACATGTGTCCATTCACTCCAGGCCACGGGTCAGGCCACCCTCTGCACCCCACCCTTGGAGACTCAGGGTTCTTGCCTTCCCGGAATTCTCAGTCAAGGGGTGCTCAGATAAGAAAGCCAGCCGTGTTGACGAGCGAGGTCTGCAGCTGGCCCCCACCCTTATATCTCCCAGCATCAGACTCACACTTGCCCCATGGCCCCCTTATCCATCCATCAGGAAATCAGATGTCAGAGTTCACATGTTTCAAGCCGTCCCAGCAGCCCAGCAGCCCTGCTCCTCGCTTAATCACGCAGCAACCCCAGGAGGACAGGACGGCCTGCGGCTTGGGGCCTGGCTCCTTCTATATGTTTTTAAAACCCATCAGAGACAATGACGTAGGTTCCTAAGTCACAGCGCTAAAAGCGTCGTCTTTTCTTTCTTCAGCCCAGCGTGTGCTGGCATGAGTCAGCCACCTGTGATGGATTCCGGGCCGAGGGGGAGTGGGCCGCTGAGTCAGCCTCGTGGGGCAGCAGTGGGGGGCAGGCGTGCGGGAGCCAGCCTCCTTGACTCACCTAACTCTGGGAGCGCGAGGCCCAGGCCCCAAACCCGATTCTGAACTCTGCCCACAGCCTTGTCCCCGGGAGGCCCCGTGTCACTGCACAGAAAAGCTCTGAAGGACACACGCGGGGCATTGTTGGTGTCTTACTCCCGGTGGGCAACGGGGCCTTGAGTTCTGACTTTGCCATGTGAAATTTTTGCAGTGAAAATATATCCAGGTGTTATTTATGTAACTAAAAATGAAGTTAAAAATATTTTTAAAATACAGTGTGTCTTTTCCCACACCCTGACCGTATACATCCTTGTTCCCTCTTCCGGGAGGGTCCTTCTCTCTTGGCTCAAACACATTCGTTCTTTGAACCCAGCCCAATAACACCTGCCATCAACTTTGTATTCATCACCTCATTTAATCCTCACCCTTTGTGGTTAATTATCCCCATTTTGCTGATGGGGAAACTGGGAAGCCCAGACTGGTTGCTGACCTTGCCCAAGGCCCCCCAGCTGGGAAGCGGAGCCGGACTGGAGCCTGTACGTGGCACCCAGTGGCTACTCTGCCACAGCTAATTGGGCCCCTGAGGTGGGCGATGCTCTCCCTCCAGGGAGATCCTGCTGAGCTGTTGCTCCTGTTCACGCCAGACCCAGCGGGTTGCCTCCTCCTCCGAGCCCCCTGGGCACCATTCAGCCCATGGCACACTGCACGGTGAGCTCACTGAGGCAGGGCCGTGCCCTGTGAGCCTGGGACCTCCCATGTCAGTCCAGAGCTCTGGCCCTCATGAAGACAAGACTGTTCCAGGAGAAGCCCACGACTTTGTGTTTGAGACAGGCACACTTACAGAGTAAGCAGACTTTGATGGGCTGCTCTGTGCTAAGCCATAAGCCCTATTCCTTCCCCCAGTGCAGCTTGCTAAACCTTTGTTGAGCTGGAACGAAATAAACCCTGAGCTTTTCATTATGATGTTGGGTCTTTGCTAAACAGCCCCAGCTCCCTCTTATGCTTCTTTGTTTCCTGCTGCGGTCACTCCCCCAATCCTTTCTTTTATTCGGGGTTCACTAATACCAAATTCTTCTAGTTCCTTACACATGCCCACCACTGGGCAGTTTCTGACCTCCGCACTTCATGCTGTTCCTTCTACCCAGATGCTGTTCCTTCTATTCCTGAGAAATGTGTACTCGTCTTTAGAGCCTTAGCATAGGGTGTTCTGTCCCCTGAGAAGCTGTCCCTGAACATCCCCAGCAGAACTGAAGGCCCTCCCCCGCGGTCCCACGGCCTTTGCATCCCTCTGGTCTAGTGTGGGTCACGCAGTCTCATCTTCTGTTCCAAACTGTGTCACAGCAAGCCCAGCGGGGGCTCTTCCAGGGCCAGGCTTTCGTCCGGGTCATCTCCCCAAGCCCGGCGCCTCCTGAAGGCCTGGCTCCACGTGGCCATCAGCCCAGGGCCGCTGAAGTTAGTGGCCTCAGTTTTAATGTGTGATGTGAGAAGTTTTCTTCACTGCTCTGAGCCTCAGTTTCCTTTTCTATAAAATGAGGATTATCAGGCGCCAAAGCCAAAAGTGATGTTTTAGTGAGTAATGTTATTTACTCGTTCTTCCATTCATCCAGTACGTACTTACTGAGCGCCTGTTCCGTGCCAAGTGAATACAGCATCAAATCAGACAAAAATCCCCACCAGTGTGGCGTGTACATTCTTCTTATGGGAGGAGACAGGTGAAAACGAGATGAGGCCGGGTGGCGGGTGACGTGAGTGCTTTAGCAGGGTTAGGGGCTTGGGGGATGGGGGTCGGGGGCCCCAGAGCCGAGGCCAGAGGGAGAGCCTTGTGGAACAGGGTTCTAGGAAGGGGACACGGGCACAAAGGCCCGAGGTGGGACCTTGCTCCCGGTGCAGCAGGGAGGCCAGCGTGGCCAGAGGGAGAAAGCAGAGGAGGACTGGGGACGTGGCTTCAACTCAGGACACCAGAGGCCTTGGAGGGTCCTGAGCAGAGGAGTGACAGGATCAAATGCAGGTTCAAAAGGCCCCCTCTGGCAACTATTGGGGAAAGGCCTGGGGGCGCCAGAGATGGAAGCTGGAAGCCCAGGAGGGAGGCTGCCTCCACGGCCAGTCCAGCGGGGCAGTGGAGGCGGGAGGCGTCAGACACTGGGCATCTTGAAGGTGGAGCTGACGGCATCTCCTGGTGGGTGGGATGTTGGTGTGCGAGAAGGACAGGGCCAGCGCAGCTGGGAGGAGAGTACTTTTGGTGAAAGGGGAGGCCTCAGGAGAACCCGCGGAGGCGTCCTCAGCACCACTCACTCAGTTAGCTTTCACTCAGGCCCTCTCACTGGCGGTGCTCTGCGAGGCCTCGAGACCCAGGGAGCAAAGGAGGCCACTGCAGTCTCGCCTTCGAGGATCCCCCAGTCTAGGGTGACGGGGCAGGTTTGGGTGGCTGATGGTGTTGATCTGGAGTTCGAGGAAGCTCTGTTAGTCTGCAGGCCTAGAGGTCGTTCCCTGACCCCTCTGGGGGGCGAACAGCTAGGGAGTTGATGGGGGCAGCTGCCTTTTCGAGCCCTGGACTTGTGCCAGGTGCCCAGCTGGGCGCTTCATGCACATCCTCCCACCCTAGAGCCCTGCATCCCCCTAGGGCAGCCACGGTTGTCACCCCCTTTCTACAGATGAGAGGGCTGAGGCTCAGAGAGGGTGTGGCTCCTACAGAGTCCCATGGCCCAGCTGGGATCCAAACCCAGATCTGTCTGAGCCCAGGGTGATGCCCTGCAGCCCACCCTCTGGGGCAGCCAACTCAACTCCTGAAACTTGCATCTCTCCCCTAGGTCCCGGGCAACTTCCACGTGTCCACACACAGTGCCACAGCACAGCCACAGAACCCGGACATGACCCACATCATCCATAAACTCTCCTTTGGGGACACGCTACAGGTGAGCGGGGCACACTCAAGGTGGCGCAGCTGGGGGTGGGCATCCAGGGGCCGCATCACCGGAGGCTTCTGCCCTCCCTGGGCGCAGAGAGATGCCCTCCAAGGGGGTCCCCCCTCTTCGAGCCTCTGCTCCATCAAACAGCCCCTTGTATTATTTCTGAGCACGCGGCTGCCGTGTTATCAATGCTGCACTGAATGCAGAACCTCAGCGTGAGACCAGGGCCTGGGGAAAAGGACTCACCTTCATGAGCAAGTACTAAGCGTTAGTGCTTTCTGTCTGCCAGGGCAGCCTGATGAGGCAGGAGGGGACACCGCATTTTACAGACCTGGAGCTGGGTCCAGAGAAGCCATTTGTCCAGGGTCCCCCAGCATGTGTGTCTGACCCCCGAGTCCAGCACACTGGCCACCACACTGTCAGTGCCCACGTCCATCACATAGGCGTGAATGAAGTATTCTGAGAGTCCTTGCGATTTTGATGGAGAAGCCACCGCCCGCAGTCTCCTCCTCCTGCAGATACTGAGCCCTGTTCTCTGCCGGCTGCAGGCAGGGGAGCTGGGACTCTCCCTGTCTCTACCCTCAGCACCGCAGGGCCGCAGGAGAATTGTTGCACCCTGTGTGACAAAGAGGGACTCAAGGCTCAGAAGCAGAAGAAACCGCTCCAGCCACAGCGCTGGCTCTGCGACCCCAGCTCCTGACCCCAAGCCTTGCTTGATGAGAACCCTGCTTCCTGATTGAGGTTGCTAGGTGGGTGCCCTCCAGGCACTGTGATGTGCACACGGGGCACACACAGGCCCATGAGCACACGCACACACACTGTTCTAACACCCGTGTGCACACGTCTGCTCAGACTCACGCACACACTCATCAGACACGCACTGAAAGGTGTACCCTGGCATATGCATGCTCGTACGTACACCGAGACCACACGCTGAGCACACACGCCGCATGTGCACACACTCACACCCACTCAGACCTCGCACAAACACAGCGCACACACCCAGGTGTACAGCGTTCTCGTAAGCATCCCCAGCCCCCTGCCCAGCACAGTCATCCCTGCAAACACACCTCACCCAGAGATACGCACAGACTCACCCGGGTGGGAACATCACACACAGACCCACACACACTCACTCCTGCTCCCACTGCCCCTCTTACGTGAACCTGCCGCGTGCATCCACCTGCCGCAAGAATGCCTGTTGCTGGCTGAATGCTTTGTGTGCGCCGAGCAGCTTACTTCACAAGCACGATCCTCTTTCACTCTGTCAGCAGCCCCAGAGGTAGATACTATATTGTCCCCATTTTTCAGATGAGGAAACTGAGGCACAGGGAGGGTGCAGCCTGTTACAGAGCCTGGGTCTGAATCCAGAGTCTGGCTGCGGACTGCACGGCGGGTCCCGCCTCCGGTGAGCTGTCCCTCAAGCACATGTGCGCTCTCACGCTTCTGTCCCTCCATGTTTCTCCCGCCACTTTGCCAGGGCACCTTGTGCCCAGCAGGAGTGGCACTGTCATTGCCTTCCCAGTCCCTTTGGAGGCCCCAGAGGTTTTCCTCTTGGGGACAGGGCATAGAAACAGAGAGGGCCTGGGCTCCCTGGGCCGGACTTGCTGCCCACACACTCCGTGAAGCACGTCCCACCCTGGGACCGTGGGCTCACTCCCTGCAGGCGGATTCACGCAGGATTCACACCACCGCTCCATCCAGAGGACTACTGTGTGGCAGTTCCCCACTTGCTTTTCTGGGTTCACATACTGGCTCCACCACTAACCAGTTGTGAGACCTTGGGCAAATTATTCTTACTAAGCCTCAGTTATCTCATCTGTAAAATGGGGACAATGATTGTACCTGCCTCATAGAACTGTAGTGAAGATAAAATGAGCTAAAGGGATGGCACGTGAAGCTCTTAGAATTGCCTGGCACAGAGTAAGCGGTCAGTGAAATGTCCTATGAGCATTGTCACCCGTGCCCTCACTCTGCACCAGGCCCTGCAGGATAAGATGTTGCTGGCCCTCAGGGGCTCATACAGCCATGGGGAGACAGATGTGGGGTGGTCCCCACCCACTGAGGCAGGAGCTGACACATCCCAGGCAGGCTGAAGCCCATAGAAAGAGCACCCACCTGCTGTGGGGAAGATGGGCCATGAGGCAAGGCTGCAGGTAGGGAGGTGAGGGAAGGGCTGTAACCAAGGCCAGGGGATGGGGCCTAACTGAGGCAGGGCAGGGGGAGGAGAGGAGATGGGGGCAGCCTTGCACTGCTGTCTGCCCCTGCAGAGCAGGAGGACAGTAACAGCCTTCTGCTTGGTCCTTATGGTGGAAATAGGATTTTTCAAAAGTGTAGCACACTTAGCCGAGGGTCCAACTACCCATCGGTAACCCATCCATCCATTCAGCAAGTATTTACTGAGTATCTGCTATGTGCCAGTTCTTGCACACATCTGTGAGGACGAGTGTGGTCCCTGCCCACGTGGAGTATATAGTCCAGAGGAGCAGACAGAAAGTAATCAAATAATGTGAGATAAAACGCTGATGCACGTTTGTCTCTTGCACTCTTGTCTCCACAAGCACCGTCCTCTTGGGTGAGAGACAAAGTCTTTAGATGGTCGATCCCTAGGCTGCAATGAACAGACTTCCCTTTGGGCTTGTTGAGTGCGCAGCTCTGTTAAGTGCTCAGTAAACGTCAGCCGTCAGGCGTCTGAAACCAGGATCAGGCGTCAGGTTCCCCACTGTTCCTGGAGTGGCCCTCCCTGTAGGAGCCTGTCCCCTCCTACCTCTCTGACCTCTTTCCTTCCACTCCTTACCCTCTTCCTCTCTAGGGCCATATGGGCTCTGTCTGTTTCTCAGTCTCCAGACTCCCGTTTGCATGTGCTGCTTGTCTGATTAACTTTCCACTTTCCTACAGATCGTGGTGTCCGTGTCACTTCCTCCAGGAAGCCCTCCAGGATATCCAGCTCAGCAGCCCCCATTAGTCATATCCATGGTGACATGCCCTGTGTACTGGGCATGCTTTGTCCTGCCTTAGATTCTCCTTGAGGCTGACCTGGTTTCCCGTTGTCCTCAGAGAAGTGGGATGTATGTGCCCTTCAGCCACACTTTACAGCAGCCGCTGCCAGGGCAACACAACGGGGCCGGCTGCCGAGAGGAGAAGTCTCTTCACAGCTGCTATACATTCCCCACAGCAGACGAGGTGGGAGGCCAGCAGCCCGGGTCCTCTTTCAGAGGGCTGTGTGGTCTCAGGAGGAGCATACTGGGACCCAGCGCAGCTTTACTTGAGTTTTCTGCATGGTCTGATGGAAAGAGCCCAGGCTTGAGGTCAGATAGACCTGAGTTCAGAATTCAGTTCAGCCACTTATCAGTGGTTTGGTGCTTCTCCAAACCTTGACTTGCTCTTCTGTAAAATGGGCCCATGGTAGCTCATTGGGGCATTTAATGAGATGGCACTAGGTACACAGGCCCGAATGCCTCATAGTTGTAAGTGCTCAAGATGGTAAGCAAGCTAGTGCCTCCTGGGTGCCAGGCCTCTGCTGTGTCTGTGTCTTGCTCCCCACAACTTCTCTAGAGACAGACCGCACTGGATCTCCATTTTACACATGGACAAGGTCCCGGGACCAGGTGACATCTGGTCATTCCCCCACAGCCAAGGCCAGGCCTAGAGGTGGCAGCATCCTGGGGTCAGTCCCTCTCTGTGCTTCTCCACAGGTCCAGAACGTCCACGGAGCCTTCAACGCTCTCGGGGGAGCAGACAGACTCACCTCCAACCGTATGTATCTCATGCCTGCACTGGGAACAGCTTTCTGGCCTGGGGTTCCCAGGGCCGCAGAGAGGAAGTGCGGGAGAACGGAGGGAGCCTTGCTGTGAGCCAAGCTGTTCACGCTTCCTTCCCGCTGCTGGCCTGAGAACCAGTGGAAAGATCCGTATCTTACAGAGAAGGGAAGGAAAATGACCTGGGGGGGGAGTTGTGGAGCGCCCCATGAATACCGGCTGTTACAGTATTATTATTATCATCACTGCCACATAGTGGTTCTTGGTTGAGATAATCACCCTAGATCCCACAGGGAGTGATGACACAGCCAGAATTCATCCTGGCTCCAGGTGGCACCCAGGAGAACAGGGCTGTGGGTGGCTCAGTCAGGTCTGGCCACCTGGGCGGCCTCCACCCCGCCCCCCTCCTGCGTGGACCCCTCCCACCCACAAATGGCCCCTCCCTGAACCATCTCTTTCCTGGGCTCCCTGGCACCTCGGCCCAGATTAAAGAGAGTGCCACGTCTTTACACACCAGCAGAAGAGCGTGCATCCCTAGACACACATGCACACACGCGTGAGGCCTTGAGCGGAACGGGCCTGGGAGGTCTGTCTGCTCAAGTGGATCCGCCCTCTGGATCCTGCAGGACGGTTACCAAGACTTTTCTTCTTTTCTCACCAGAGCTCACCTTGCCCCCATATGTCTTTAATCACTTCTTAAAATACATTTCTAAGCAGACCTTAGAGATATTGCAGATCCGGTTCCGGACCACCTCAATGAAGCAAATATTGCAATTAAAGCGAGTCACACAAATTTTTTGATTTCCGAGTGCATGGAAAAGTTATGTTTACACTATGCTGCAGTCTGTTAAGTGTGCAGTAGCATTATGTCTTTTAAAACAGTGGAAATACCTTAATGTTAAAAATCCTTTGTTGCTAAAAAAAAAATGCTAACCATTATCTGACAAGTTGCCACAAACTTCAATTTGCTAAAAAAAAAAAAATCAGTATCTGCGAAGAGCAATAAAGCAAAACAATAAAAGGAGCTGAACCTCCATGACCTGTCCCCACCCCAGCCACTCAAGCTTTTCATTTCCCTGTGTCGCTGGGGATCCTTGTCCGTGAGCGGAAGTTGGCTTTTCTGAACACAGATAGCAGCCGACCTTCTGACTTTGGTACATGGTGTTATTACAAAACCACAGTTTGGGTACAGTTTTTCCTCTGGTGACAGAGGCACGGTTGCTCACCTAGCAGCTCTGCGGTGCTTTATTAAGGCACTCTGTCTTTTCATGGAAAGTGTCTGTTCCTGGTTTTCACCAGTACAGTGATGCCCCCGAGACTGATGGAATTTACTGTACGTTACCGTGTTGCCTCCCAGCTGGGTCCGTGCCCTTTCACGCTGCCTCCAGCGGCGCCTGAGTGTGTGACAGTCGCTCCTGGCTTTCACACAGGTGTCTGATGCTAAGGGAAGGAGTCGATTCTTCATATGGGGGGGTAGTCATCGTGGTTGTGTGCGGGCAGCGTGTGGTCCCAAGGGGGGCCGTCCACCTGCCTGCACCTCGCACGGGCCCCTGGCTGCCTGCTGTTGGAAGAGGCTCAAGCTTGGAAGACCTCAGAGTGTGCAAGCCGATGGAGGATGTGGGCAGAAAGCCTTGCCTGCTCCTGGGCTCCCGAACAAAGCCATCTCAGGCCGCATTCGTGGAAAGAGAGCTGCGTTAGATCAGGCAGCAGACAGCCAGGGTAGGGCGGCCTCTCATCTCCTCAGCCCTGCAGCCCGGTCGCCCACACTGGGCGCCTTGCCTCTGCAGGCCCCTCTGCTCCCAGGTCTCCCACGGGGGCTGCTTCTTGTCATTCAGGTCTCAGCTCAAATGCCACCGCCTCAGAGAGGCCCTTCCTGACCACCTTATCTACAGTCACCCCCATGCCCAGCAGCAGACCTGTTTTTCTTCCTTGTGCAGACCACTCTGTTTGAAGATACTGTGACTGTTGATATTTTAGCTGTGATGATGGCATTAAGGTGGTGGTGGTGGGTTTTTTTAAGAGTCTTTTCTTGAGACATAATGAAAATATCTGTGGATGAATTGATGTGATGTCTGGGATTTGCTTCAAAATAAAATGAAGGAGGAGGAGCAGTAGGGCACAGAGGAAGCAAAATTGGACATGTGTTGTTGATTGCTGAGGCTGGAGAATGGGTACCTGCATGTTCCTCGTACGGTCCCCCGTATATGTTTGAATTTTTCCATAGTAAGATGTTTGGAGGGAGGGAGAGAGCGGGAGGGGCACGTGGGCCCGCCTGGATCAGGTTGGAGCCAGCAGCCCCAAGGAAGGGTCCTCTGCCCGGGAACCCACGTGGGTGTCATTAGGTGCCGTGTTTCCAGTGGCGTTTGGCAAATTGTACCAAAGGCCTTAAAAATGGTCACTGCCTTTGAGTCATCAATTCTACTCATAGGAGAGTGAGCTCAGGGAACGATTAAGAGAATGTGCATGGATTTAGGGAGATAATAGTCATTAGGTCATTGTTTACAGGAGTGAAAATGAGCCACAGTGTCAGTGTCTAGCCCCGGAGCCTGGTTACGCACATTGTACGTGGCCACGCTGTGGGGCGTGTGCGGCTGCCGACGGGCCTGTGTCAGAACCTCGCTAGTGTTCAGGCAGCAAACAGTTACTGAGCACCTACTGTGTGCCCGGCACTGTGGGAGGGGATACGATGGTGGATAAAACCAGTGAGGTAGAGCTTACACTGTGTCTCAGACCTGAAACACTGCCTAGGGTGTTCAGTGCTCAGAAGAAGGTTCAGTATGATCCAGTTTTAGGGAAACATAAATATACGTATAAATAGAAATCTGGTAGTTTGTACATGAGGATGTGAACCTACGGTTTTCTGTGAAGGGTGGATTTATGGGTGATTTTTTTTTTCTTTACGATCACCTGTGTATCGCGAAAGTTGTAACAGAACCATTACAGGTGTGATGTTCATAAGGCATCACTCTCTTGTTCCTCCAAGTTTTTAATGAGGGGCGATGGGCATTTGGGCTTCTGGTTTAAAATGCAGATTCTTGTGGGGGGAGGGTATAGCTCAGTCACAGAGCACGTGCTTAGCATGCACGAGGTCCTGGGTTCTATCCCGAGTACCTCCATTAGATAAATAAACCTAATTACCTCCCCCTTCAAGAAAAAAAAAGTCTAAAAAGTTTTTTTAAATTAAAAAAAAATAAAAGGCAGATTCTGACCCCCACGCCAGACCCAGTGAGCGGAAGCTTCAGTGGTGAGGCCCAGGCGTCTACCTTTTAAATCCTGGTGGCCTCAGTGCTCCTGATAGCTGAGCGTTGGCGGGGTTGAGCAGCGGGAGGTTGGGGTCCTCATGGGCTTAGCCCTGAGGCTGCAGGGCTTTTCCGAAGTTTTTAGAGGAGTCGGATCTCAAGGCAGTTCAGAAAGCACTGTCCTTTCCTTACTAAGATGCGGTACTGGCAGGAAGAGGCAGGGGGCGCCATCTGCGTCCCCTGCCCTCTTACAGAAGATGAGTTCAAGGACTCAGGAGTGACTCAGCCAGAAGACCAGGAGTAGAGCCCAGAAGCCTAGATTTCTGTGTTCTAGCTGCATGGTCCCTGACCCCAGATTCTAGAAGGCAGGAACAGACGGGCCCTTGAGCTCTCCCTAGCATCCCAGAAGGCCCGAGGGAATACACCTTTCCCGGGTGGTATCGGCAGCTCTGGGCCAGCGATCTATCAGCTGAGCGTTTGATTCCGGTTACCTCATGCTTATCAGAAGCTGAATCATCTGTTCTTCCATTCATGCCTCTGACCAGTCATCCCTCCATCCGTTCGTTCATTCAATAAGCATTTGCCACTGTCCACTCTGTACCAAGCTCTGCATAGGGTTCTGGGGACACGGAGATGAGTAAGCCTCGGTCCCTGACCACCGCCGCCTCCCCCATCCAGCGAGGAGGGGGTAAGAGTTTCAGTGGAAGATGTCAGGACTGAGTAGAGCGAGAACTGGTCTCCCATTAATTGAAAACGGGGGAAAAAAATGAATCAGTTCTTTACAGATGCAGTTTTTCTGGTCGGTGGGCTCTTTTTAAAAATGTAAACCCAGTTTGTTTCAAAAGTAGCAATATTCAAACAGGATCAGAGGGTGCACAGTGACATGTGATCTTTTTCAAATCCTGCCTTCCTCCCCAGAGACTACAATTGCTAATTGTTTCTTGGGCATCTTTCCAGAAAATTCTTCTGTGTATTCATGCCTATAGAGAGAAGAATGGGTCTTCCCTGCCCCCAGTACATGGAAACACGTGATTTCCCCTTGTCTGTGACTTAGTTCTTTACACTTCAAGTTACCTCTTGGAGACTGGCCTCTCCCAGCACCCTCTCTTCAACAGTTTCCCTGTTCTTTATTTCTAATGGAGGTACTGGAGATTGAACCTGGGGCCTCATGCATGCTAAGCATGTGCTCTACCACTGAGCCAAACCCTCCCTCCCCCTAACAGCCCTATTGAGGGAACTTTGGGTTGTTTCTAGAATTTATTATTGTATGCAGTGCAGGAGTAAAGACCCTGATGGGTGGAGGTGTCCATCAATTCCTGGTGTCCAGAGGGAGAAAATGAGGAAGTGTCGTTTGGTGGTGAAACTGTGGAGGCTGAATCCTCTCCATGCCAAGCAGGCTTAGGGTTGGAATGACCTAGAAAGAGCTGCCTGCTGGGCAGTGCCCATCCCCCTGCTTCATGCTGCTCTGTCCTTCCTGCAGCCCTCGCCTCCCACGACTATATCTTGAAGATCGTGCCCACGGTTTACGAGGACAAGAGTGGCAAGCAGCGGTACTCCTACCAGTACACGGTGGCCAACAAGGTACCCTGGCGGCAGCTGCGCCCAGCTGCGTGCAATTGCGCCCTCTGCTGGCTGAGAGCGGAGGTGACACGTGTCTGGGCATGCTTTCCTCTGTTTCCCTACACCGGGCTTTTCCTGGGATGGGGTGCTCTGGCCTGGCTCTGTCCCTGGGTAAAGATGGGAGGCCAGCCTCAGAGTCAAGGGAAAGAAATCTCACCGGGAGATAGTGTGTGGTCTGTTTGAGAAAGAGCAGGCAGGTGGCCTGCCCCAAAGGTCCAGGGGCTGTGGACATCCCCACAGCCCTTCATCTGGCCCCGGTCCTTAAGATACAGGACCCTGATTGGTTAGCACAGAACAAATGCTCTGGCTCTTGGGGCACAAGCTTTATCCAAAATCATGAGGCCCTTGAATCACACCAGATGGCCGTTGGTTAGCAGGTATGTCCCAGGACCCCAACACTCAGAGTCATGGAGAAGCAGGCAGGTCTTGGTGGAGAGCAGAGCACAGTCAGAACCAGCAGAACAGGGTGACAGACAGTTTCAAACCGAAACAGCCTCAGCTTCCCCGAGATGACCCTGCCCGTGGGACATGAATGCTTGAAGCCGGTTGCTTGAGCCCCCCACCCCCAGATTGACCCCTTCCTATCAGGAGTCTCCTTTCCCTTCTGTTCCAAGACTGTGCAAACCCCTTATAAATGATATATTGTTTGGCTCTAATAATAATCACAGTAAGAGTAGCAGTTACCACTTATGGGGTGCTTTCCGCGAGCTGGACATTGTGCTACGCGCTCTGCCTCCAACATCTTTTTCGGTCATCATGACAGCTCTGACATTGGGACTATTATTGTCCCCATTGTACAGATTTGGCCACTGAGGTGCTGAGAGGTGGTCCTGGAGCTATAAAGTGGCTGAGTGGATCTTAGAACCAGCTTCTCCTCCGGCTCCAGAATCTGGCCTCTTGATCACATTACCTACTCAGTCTGAAAGAGAGGCCTCTGAGTCTGCCGGGCTGGGAGCTACTCTCTCTCGGGGGACTTGGGGTCCCCCTTCTCTGATCCACCTGCTCTGATGCTCTGGTGTAGCTGGAGCAGACGTCCTGTTTCTCGGAGGGCATCTCACTGGGACCCTCAAGTGCTGACAGCATCTGACAGATGGGAGAAGGCGGAGGCAGACTGAGCAGAAAGAGCGAGGGCTGGGGAGCAAACTTCCAGCTCAAAGCCAGCGCAGTCACTCACCGGCTCTGGGACCTGGGACAAGTCACATAACTGCTCTGTGCCTTAATTTACTCACTTTATAAAACAGGGATGGTGCCCGCCTCATAAGATCGCCGTCCAATGAGGCAGTGCTTTTAAAACTAGCTAGCCCACGAAGAAGGCTTTGGATAAATGGGACCTACTGCTGCTATTTTTTGTTTGTTTGTTTTTTGTTTTCCTCCGTCCGTCAGCACTGGGCTGTGACCCAGACAGTCACCCTGCCCCATCAGCTCTCCCTGGAGAAAACTGATCTTGTTTTGCCCAAGTCTCCTTCCCCTGAGGCTTTGGCGAAGGCCCAGTGGCCAGAACAGCTTGCTCAGCCCTCTTGAGTGAGGGCGGCTGTGCCCATCCAGGGCTGCCGGCTCCCCAGCAGAGGGCACGTCTCAGGGTTGTCCCCAGAGAAGCCACAGGGCTTAGGTCTAAGTGTTTGGGGTTGGGGCATTAGTTTGGTCTCCAGGTGCTGTAGTGAGAGTAGCCCCGAGGTTTCCAGCGTTCTGCAGTGGACAGACACACTGTTAATTCAGCCCCTTGGCATCCTTGGAGTCCCGGCTGCGCCCTCTGACTTCCCAGTTCTGTGTTCCTGCTTTGTAGAAATTCACTCCCCACCCCCCTCTCTCTCGCACAAACCCTCCTCAGGACGTCATGTGTGGCGTTAGACTGTCTCATCCTCCAGACGCCCCGGGGGAGCTGTGGCTGTTCGTTTACAGCCCCGTCAGTGCTCCGTATCCCTCAGTCAGGGCACGGACGATGCTGCCTCTGCTCCTGACTGTGAGCCCCTCTGGGGATGGAGCGGGGCATGCTCCCCTCAGGGTCCCCCGCAGCCAGCATGGGGCCAGCACACGGGAGAGCTGCTCAGTGAACTATCACCGGGTAAACGGATGCACTCTGCATGCCCCAGGAGTTGAAGGGGCTACTAAGCCTTTACTCAGACTCAGCCCAGGTCATGCTTGTCCCTTGACATCTCTGGACTCAGTTTCATATATTGATTCTGGTGCTGCCTCCAGGGTCATCCTGTCAATTTCCAAGCAGCCAATAGGGTCCCAAACGCCCCCAGCTTAGTGGCCACCCAGGTGCTATGGCAGAGCCTCGGGGGGTGGGGGTGGGAGGTGTGAGAGGAGGGGTCCATGGAGCTCGGCTCTTGGAGGGGAGAGAGAGAAGAAGAGCCTGTGCTTGTGCATTGCTGGGGACCACCCATGAGACACGGTTTGTGTGTCCGAGTCTCACATCCCCCTCCCCTGCTCTCTCTCCTCCCACCCCAGGAGTACGTCGCCTACAGCCACACAGGCCGCATCATCCCCGCCATCTGGTTCCGCTATGACCTCAGCCCCATCACGGTCAAGTACACAGAGAGACGACAGCCTCTGTACAGGTTCATCACCACGGTGAGTAGTGGGGAAGCGGGGGGCGCCTGCTGTGGGCTCTCTTCTTGGCGCCCCCCCCCACCGGTTCTCAGAGAAGCAGGATACAGCCCGCAGAGCCAGAGGCTCGGCCTGCTCGCAGATGTCGTCAGAATCATGTCAATATCGATGGCATGTCATCGAGAGAATCTTTTTCAGAGGGGAATGCCACTCAGTCAGTTCCGTTCCTTAAGCAGCTCTTTATATGGCTCAGATGTTCGTGATTTTCTCCACTTTTTAAACCTTTACGAAAGTTATTCTTAGCAGGGCTTATCCTTTTCTGTGTAGATTTTACAGTGGAGATTTAACTCATTTTTTCCCCAAGTGTTTTTTTCACTTCTAGCTGCTGCTATGGTCAGGTTTTTTCTTTCTTTCCTTCCTCCCTGTTCTCTCTCCTTTCTTTTTTGCCATTGTCTCCACCAAGTCCAATTTTCCGTGGGGCAGTTTCAAGCTGATATCAGTTTTCTCTGATGCTGAATATTTCTATTAAGTGTACTATCATGGCCTCCCATTCAAATGTCCTTGGGGTCAGAACAGCAGAATCGCAGTGCCCTGCTCCAGCTAAGAGACCTGGAGATGTTTGGCAAGCCGGAGTCAGCGGAGGTGGAAGAGATGGGGTGATTATCCCTCCCTGACAGATTTGGAAACTGAGGCCCCCATCTGTAGTGGCCGCCCAGATGCTATGGCAGAGCCTCAGGTGAAAGGGTGTGAGTGGAGGGGTCTTGTGCTTCTCCACCTTTTCATACCGATTCAGGATTAGGTGTCCAGTCCCAGCTCTTTCATTTCCTGTGCTGACTAGGTCTGTATTAGGACTCTGTTACAGCAGAGAGAGAACCCCACATCAAGCTGGCCTGAGGGGGTTAAGTGAGCCTCAGGCATGGCTTGATCCAGGCGCTTGGTCTCTCTTCATTTTGCTCTCCTCTGTGCTGGCTTCATTTTCAAATAGAATTTACCAGTAGAAAATGCCTCTTTCTCAGTAATTCTATCCTAAGTCCTGAATGGAATGGCACTGTCATTGGCCCAGCTCAGGTCCCATGTCATCCTTGTGACCTGGGGGATGAATGAAGTGCTCCAGCTGGCCAGCCCCACCCAGACCACAGGGACAAAGATTGCAAGAGGTGGGGTTCCCTAAGAGGAAAGTCAGAGGCCAGTTACTAGAAGAAAGAGGAAGGGTACTAGGAGGCTGAAAGGCCAAGTGTCCGCTACAGAGCCTCCATCATGTAATCTGTGAAATAGAAATCGCAGTCCCCACTCTTCCCACCTCCCATGGCCTCGTGGGAGACTCAAAGCAGACCATGAAAGGGAAGCTCTGCAGTTACAAAAAGCCATGAGCATACTAAGGGTGTCCAAACTCTGGTGCTTCTGTGAGCCTCGGAATTGCCTTTTACTGTTCTCTGACTCCACAAAAAAAATGTGAAACTTTTCTGATCAACCAGGGGCACCTAACATAAAGCTAAAACACCAGACACAAATTGGGAGACAGTATTTGCCACACGTACAAGAAAGGACACTTCAGAATTTCCACATTACAAAATTCCTCCAAGTCAGTAATAAAAAGTTAAATGACCAAAAAGAAAATGGGTAAGGGCTGGACCGCTCACAGAGGAGACCACACAGGCAGTGGAAGGTGCCCAAGTTCACTAGAAACTGGAGGAATGAGGTTCAAGACAACCAGCCCTGATTCAGTCCTGTCGAGTGGCAGAAATGACAGACCTGCCGCTGTCAAGACTGGGAGGAGGGTGCGAAGCAGGGGGATCCGCGATACAGTTTGGTGCGCGGGTGAATTGGCTCAACAACTTTGAGGGGAGACACACTAAGCCTTTGGCCTCAAATCAGGAAATTTGTGAGCAAGTGGTTTTACCCAGGTTCCCACAGGGTGGCACCCTAAGCGGGCCTTGGCACTGATCCTTAGGCCAGCACTCCTAAGGCAGCCCCAGAGTAAGACAGAAATGAAATTACAGGTAGACACCTCTGTGCAGGTGCTCAGAGGACCTGGGGTCTGCAACAGTGACAGTGGCAGGGAAACCCCTGCGCCCACACCTCACCATAGGGTCTTCATGACCCCCTTCCTGTTTGCTCTGCGTTCCAGACACCTGAGAGTCTGACCCTTAAAACCCCTTGGCAAATGGCTGAGAAATGAAGCAATTTCATTTAGTCACTAAACGTTTGCTAGAATTTACCACCCACCAGGCGGGGTAGCGGGGATAGCTGAATGGGACCAAGTCCCTGCCCTTCAGCTGCTCCCCAGCTGGTGGGGGAGCTGGGCCAGCACACACAGAGCCGCAGCCCCGCCCAGCAGCGGCTCCGATGGAGCTGTGCACCGTGCACTGCGGTGGGAAAGGCTCCCCTGTGTTTGGAAAGTTCAGAGAAGGAAACCCCAAGATGGGTCTTGAAGGGTGGGGAGACATTTTCTAGACTGATGAGGGAAAGAGAGAGGGTCTTAGCAAAGGGCATAGCACGTGCAGAGGGGCCCAACATACCATAGCTCGTGAAGGCCATGTGGCTTCTTTCGATGGCGAAGAACTTCTTCCCAGGAAGTCCCAGGGGACAAGCCTGTCCTTCGTCACCCAGAGACCTTCTCCTCCTCCCTTTGGCCACCAGCCCCTCCTCCATCTCTGCCCTGTCCACCTCCACCTGGGTGCAGGCCATGCTGCAGGGAACCTCCTGACATCATTAGCCCGGTAGGTTTTCTGAAGGCCCCGCATTGCCATCTTGGTTGCCACGGCAACCGTGGGGTCAGCCCAGAGTGAGCCAGCCGGCTGTCCCTGGCAGATGGCGTCATTGTGGAGCTTCAAAGGCCCTTGTCACAGGGCGGCAGATGCGGGGATGACGCTCCCACACTGTCATACACACACAAAGACCCCCGGGGAGCCCTCGCCGGGCAGGGTGGGGCTGGGAGGGAAGTGGAGACACCTGCTGCGACTTCTCTTTCTCTCCTTTTAAAATCAAACACTTGTGTGCAAAGCCTCTGAACCCCAAATGGGGGCCTCTGCAAATAGCTCCTTAGAGGGGCTGTGAAGAGGGGGCGTAGGCCAGGATGTCGTCATGGGGTGGCTGCGGGCTGCGGAGGCAGCTGTGGATGGGCTGGAATGAGGGGTGGGTGTGGGGTGTGGAGGGGAGAGGCGGGGGGGCCCCCCTGATGCATTCTAAGTAGCACGTACCTGGCTTATCCGGGGTCACCCCCTCCAGGGTCTCATGGTCTGGGAAGGACCTTTTCACCCCAAGCCTGAACAGAGGAGGCCACCTCCTCCCGGAAGTCTCCCCCAGGCTGCCCAGGGCTCCTCTCTTGGGATGCCCAGGGCACCTTGCTCAGACCTCCGCTTTGTGCTTCTCCAGAAAATTCCACCACTGAGGGAATAAACAGATGGTGTTTAACAATATGCAAGTGATCCCCCTCAAAGTGCCCCCTCCCACACACGCACTTTTGTCCCCTGCCACTTGCCAAAGCCCCTTTTTGGAGATGGCCTTCAAGTGGGTTGTAGTGACAGACTGGATAGCTTTGGTGGTGTCACATCGCTTTCCTTCTGTGTTTTATTCTATTTGTGGGGAACAGCCAGAAGTCATCAAGTACCAAATTGGGTCAGTATGGCCGTGACAGTGTTTGCCCACCAAAAAGTAGCAGCTGGCGATGACACGCTTCCACTGGGCAGCAGAGATAGCTGAGTTGGACATCTTCCCTGTCCTCAAGGTGCTCCTGGCCGGTGACATAATCCCCCAGACTTCAGACTGTGCTCCCTAGGTGCCAGGCCTGATGATGAGCTCCAGGTCTGGCTCACTTGTGTCCCAGCATCCAGCACGGGGCCTGCCCTGGACCTGGGTGCTCAGAAAAACACAAGGGATGGCTGCTTGAAGAAGTGATCATATAACTATGCTTATCAAGCGTCTACTAGGTGCCAGGAAATTTTACAGTTATCTCCTTTAACCCTCCCAGGTAGATGAAGTCATTCTTGTTTTATATATAAATCGACTGAGGCCCAGAGAGGTAAAGAAACTCATCCAAGATCACACAGCCAATAAGTGGCAAGGCTGGGATTTGACCCCAAAACCTGCCTGCCTCTGCCACATCCCCACCCTCAACCCCTGCCAACCAGCTTGGGAGCCTCCATCTTCCAAAACAAAGGCTTTCAAGGATGTTCCAGCAGCAGGGCTTCCAGAAGCCATGGAGCCCTTGAGAGGACGCCAGGATCATTAGATACAGTGACTTTCATCCTAGGAGTCAGGAGAAATATTATAGCAGGAATCAAGGAGATAATGTGAGCGTCTGTGATAAAATCACAGTCACGCACACGCAAACCATAAAAAAATAAGCAAGCTGTCCACCTGAGACTAGCTGGCTGGCGGGGTGCAGGTTTTCCTGCTCGTATCTAACCACCTCTCACTCATCTGTTTGGGCACCTGCAAGGATTTTCCATTGACAAAAGGCAGCAGGTGCCTGGGGCACAGGGTGCATAGGATAGTTTAAACAAAATAATAATACTGAGAGTAAACAAACTTAAAACTGAGAATGTTTTACCACTGAGAGTTGGGAAAAGAGCGGCTTGGTAGCTGGGCTGGGATGACAGCCCGTTCAGAGCCTCCATTCTCTCCTACTCAATCTCCCCTCGAGTGTCTCTCCTCCCAGGACCACGGCTCCAGGAAGGCAGGGCTGGGTCTAAGTGTTCTCTGGTCTCCAGACCTGGGATAGCACGGTCGATGAGAAGTAGGTGTGAACAGTGCGCAAGCACGTGGAGGGTGTCCACCTTGGTCCACACCCCCCCAAGACAGTTTCTGTTATTTGAGGAACAGAGCAGAACCTAAATTAGCAACACAGTTACTCAAGCTTGGAAATGTGTGTAAAACCTCAGTTTCCATCCTTCAGACGTTTGCGTGAAGCTGGTTCTTCCAGAAGGTTGTTTTTATCAGGGACAGGTTGCTCCACCTGGGTCTGAACACAGGTATCGCAGTTGGAGCAGAATACCCTGGGGCTGGCTTTTCTAAGGCAGGTT